ATTATCATGTAGCAGGTCCTTTGCAGAACGTCGCTCTCCTCACAGTCTGCCTGAAAGAAACTCGGTCTCTCGCCAGTTCTCCCGGCTCATGCACTTTCTCACTCAAGGAGTCATTTATATCCTGTGCCCATCTTCGTGTCGGTCGGCCACTGCCCCTCTATCCTGGTACCATGCCTTCTACTATACTCTTTCCCAATCCGTCCTGGCGCTTGATATGACCAAAATATTTCAACTTTCGAGAAAGAATGCTGTTTATTAGCCAATCTTCCTTTATGTTCAGATCTTCTAAGATGTCAATATTTCTCATCTTCCTTGTCCAAGATATTATGAGAATCTTTCTATAGTATTTCAGCTCAAAAGCCCCTATTCGCTTTCTTAAGGACTGAGAGATAGTCCACGACTAGCCACAGGGAAGATGCATGCTCTCAAAATTCTAATTGTTATCTCCTTGCTGGTACTTAACCATAGACTTTTAAGGCTGTTCAATCTTTGCATTGCTATGGCCATCCTTCTTTTAAGTTCTATCGAACAGTCTCCATTGTTGTTTATTATAGAGCCTAGATATTCAAAGTTTGTGACATTTTCAAATTCTTCATCATGTATTGTTATTTTTGGGCGAGAGCTAATTTTATCTGTGGACATTATTTTCGTTTTCTTCAAATTCAAGAACAGATTTTGATCTTCACTGTGCTTTTGGACAGACAATATAAAATTTTCTATTCCCTTTACGCTATTCGAAAGGAAGACTGTGTCATCTGCGTAGCGGAGTTCCGAGATAGGGTTGCCACCAATTTTGAGCGGATCATAACTGTCACAAGTCTGGTCATTTTTGACATTTCTCATTATATTTTCTGCGTAAATATTGAATAGGTATGGTGAGAGAATGCACCCCTGCCTCACCCCCTTTTGCACCTCAAACCAATCAGATGTTTCACCAGCTGCTCTGATGGCTGTTTTTTGTTAATGATAAAGATTTTGGGTAATGGTTTGTCATAAAATGAAGTTTCTATTTGGCAACCCTGGGGGAGGGGTTGGGGGAGGGGGTGGAGGGAAATAAAAAAATGGACTCGTCCGCAGTTAAAGTTACCCAGGGAGCAAACAAATTTTAGAAAGACTATCATGGGGAATGACACACACACACACACACACACACACACACACACACACACACACATTCACACAAACCCCACCCACCCATCCAAAACACCCCCCCCCCCCGACACACACACAAACACACAGACACAGACACACACTCACATACACTGACACACACACGCACACAAGGGTTTGAAAATACTATTTAAGATTCAACTGTTTTGAATCTTGAGGCCATGTGGAGATAGAGAAACCACGCCAGGACAATTCTCCAGAACCACGGGAATTCTCAGTTTGTTGTTGTTGTTGTTGTTGTTTTTATTAGCAAATGTTACTCGCCTGTGGATTCGTCTGTGTTAACCCAAGTATGTGGAGGTGTACTTTGATGTTTAAGCTGATACGTTTTAAACTTAGAAGTATTAGATAATGTACTTCCGACTGTGGTAGTCGCCGTGGAGTAGCGACTAGACGCTCACCTGCGGATCAAAACGGCGTGGGTTCGCTCCCTAGCGGAGCCGGACTATTAAAAAAAAATACATTGTCTTCCAGGTCAACCCAATTTGAATGGGTACCGGGTGCAGCCATTGGAAGTAAAGGCGGAGGCATGATGCTGACCGCCATATTACCTATCCTGTGCCGCTGGTCTATAAAATATAAGTGTAGCCCTATATACCCAATACGCCTGAATGGCGTGGAAAAGCGTCCTTTACTGTACTTACTCCTGACTGTGGGTGTGCATGTTTTACTATAGATTAGGCCGTCTGTATAGTGTACTTGTTGACAACATTGATGTTATCTGCTTACATTGTCTCCCAGGATACGACGGGGCTGGTGTTACCATAAACAGAAGTTTGCTCACGGAAAGAGAGAAGATTATCTATGACAACGGATTGAAAACTTATAAAGTTAACCAGATGGCCAGTGACAGGATTTCCCTGAGAAGAGAGATAGCCTTCGATATTCCAGAGTATGATAACCTAATTTGTTTTTTGTCCTAAATGCATTAAAATTCTTTTACTTTTAAGTTTGAAGTTTGAAGTTTTGAACAACGGATCAACATCATGGCACACGGGTAGTAACCCATAAGTGCTTCATTCTTTTTTTAACCCAAGTCTGCCCAAGAAGCTTAGCACAAGCTCTGTAGCACCGGCGAGGATTCTTAAACTGGTAACTGGTAACTGGTGTTGGTAAAAAAAACGAAAAACTTCTTGCTTCTTTCAACCGGCTCCTAGAATGAGCGTTGGTTATATCGAAGCGGTGTTTTGTTGTCTGGAGTTTTGTCCTCCAGTTATTGTCGTTTCTGTTGTGGCTATTTACATTTCTGCCTGAGGTTAGTTGCTTCTGTCAGAGTGAGGTAGGTGGGCGTGGTTTGGGCGGCGGACATGTGTCATCTGGTTGTGGGCTGTGAGGTTTCTCCGGGCTGGTGGGCGTGGTTGTTCAGCTGTCATGGCGGCTTTTGAGGTTTTCATTGGTTGCTGCATGTAGGCTTTCAACTTGCTACTTCACGTGGGCGTCGTTTCCGTTTGAGTGGGCTGCTATCTTCGTTTTGTTGTTTCTTATGCTTTCGAGTTGAAGATGCCGGGTGGCCTCTTTGAGTTGCTTCACCTCCTTGTTTATTGCTGCGAAATCGCCTTTCAGGCATTCCTTGAGGATGTATAGGTCTTGTGTGCACTTCTTCTCTAGATCTCCGGGTTTCACGTGTGCGTCGTGGATCTGCCTTTTTCTGTCTTTTTCTTTCTTCGCGTTTTCTCTGGCTTCTATCACTCTGTGCGTGGCTTCGAGTACAGTGCTGAGTTTGTCGCATTCATTGTTTGCCTCGGCTACCTCTGCTTTTGTTTTTGCCAGGTCTTTCTTGATGGTGGCTATCTCGGAAAGTATACTTTTCTGGTTGTCTTTCAGTTCTTTGGCGGCTACTGCGTCTGCTTCCTTTAACTTCTTGAGGTCGGTTAGATTTGCCATCAATTCTGTTTTGAACTTCGCCATTTCTGTATTTTCCTCCTCGAGTCTCCTTTGGGTCTCGAGAGATGCCTGCAGAATGCTTCGCAGGTCTATCATCTCGTCCCTGTCTTGAGTCCTGAGTGCCATGATTCTTGCGTTTTCTTCTCGCAGGGATTTGATTTCGTGGGCAGATTTTTAAACTCAAAATTTTGCCCGGGCCGTTAAGCTAGTCTTTTCGATTCCCAACTGCCAAATGATTTTTACGCGAGCAACAATGCACACGGTCGTCCAATCTGACTACCCAGATACCAGAGGTAATTACTAAAAGTCCAAGTCCAGAAAAAGGTCCCAGCCCTTACCGGGGATTAAACCCGGAACCTCTAGCACTCGAGGCGGACATCATGCCTCTAGACCACACAGCCCTCTGTTTTGCATTCATCTTTGAGGGAAAGCCTGTGCATGTCCTTTAAAGAAAAGAAAATTCATATTCATTTAAAAAAATGATGTATATCAGTATTAGAAAAAAAAATCAGATCTTATCAAAATGACATTGGCTCCCTTTTTTTTTAACCCAGCCTGGAATGGATACCAGAAAGGTCTATGAAACTAAATGCGGCAATAATGGGAGTGAAAGAAAAAGAAGGTTCTGCAGTCACATTGATCACAAGAAATACTAAATAGCGTAACAGTTGACTATAAAGTTTAGCGGAAAGAATATCAGCGCACTCGCACAAATACAACCGAACGTTTCACCAAAGTCTTTATCAAGAAAGTATGTTCAACACAAACTGTGAATAGAGTATTAAGAACAGCGGTTCTCAGCCTGTGGGTCGAATGATTCTTTCACAGCGGTGACCAAAGACCACAGGAAAACACATAAGCACTGAAGTTATGAAGTAAAAACGATAAAAAAAATTGTATGGTTGGGGGTTGCCGTATTAAAAAGGTTGAGAACCATTGGTTTAGAAGCATACTTCGGAGAAAGAACCTGCTATTGATAATATTTTAGCTTTTACGATTTTTAGGCCCTATAATCTAACGTCGCGGTGTCCGTTGTAAGTCCGATTCGTAATTCCAACGTACCACGATCGAAACCTACAGCTGGCTGCGTGGATTTTTATCATGGTTTGGGGCGTCGCAGGTAGACCCAGCCTAAAATGGGTAACAGGATGGCTGTCCTGGGGAAGTAAAGACGGCCGGCGTAATGCTGACCACATTACCCAACCGATGCCGATTAGTCTGTAAAAATATGGTACGCTCGTCTCAAATGCTCAATGCGCCCAAGGCGTGAAAAGGGATCTTTACTTTACTTTCTTATAATCTAACGTCAGCGAAACCAGTCATATGTATATGCCTGTGTATTGACAGGAAAAAAACTGGTACACGTAATATGTCGTGGAATGATGTCGTCACATAAATAGATACATGCTGTTAGAGATCAGAAGTTGTGGAGATGTATGATCACAGATAGAAGTCAGCAAGTTGCACTGATTGTTAAATAGTTCGACTCTTACAGCGATTTGCTGCTCAACACATCAAAGCTTACACATAGTAATGACAGACGGACAAACTGTCAGACACAAAGATAGACTGACAGACTAAGGAATAGACAGACAGACAGACAGACAGACAGACAGACAGACAGACAGACAGACAGACAGACAGACAGACAGACAGACAGACAGACAGACAGACAGACAGACAGACAGACAGACAGACAGACAGACAGACAGACAGACAGACAGACAGACAGACAGACAGACAGACAGACAGACAGACAGATATAACTATTTCTTAGTTTAGAACTAGTTGAACTAAGCGAATATATATATATATATATATATATATATATATATATATATATATATATATATATATATATATATATATATACGATGAAGTTGCTTGTCATACCGAACCAGAAAATCAACAAGAAACTTTCAAGGTTCATTATCTAATTCGAGCAGATGCAAGAACCTAACATACGATACGACAGCCCTGCCTACAGCGGGAATAGTTCTAGTCTTCGTAGATGAAATGTGGTCAGCGCTGATGAGAACAGTTTTCAGTATTCTCGATGCTGGTCCCATAGAGCTCATCTCTGAGATTATCCTTGTCGACGACGCTTCCCAGAAAGGTAATTTAGTTATTCTGCGTATCCTTTACAGGGCGTTGCAAAACCAAATACAGCATTTTTTAGCTGTTGTGTTTTTTCTGGACAAATTTACGTCCAGTATTTTGCCATTGCCCTGGACGGTCGGCTCTCGGTACCACTGTCGAAACCAACGCAAGACAGTCCGTGCGTAGCTGGGATCGAACCCGGCACCGCGGCATTACGAAGCGCGTTTGCAACGCCTAAGCCACATAGACCTTTATATAGTTCAGACTGTGCGTTAATCTTGTCATCAATTTGTATTTTTGCCGTTAAGCGTCGTGTGGAGGAACAGTCTCCGCTTCATTACATGATCATTGTCTTTCTGTGTTGATTTAAAAGGTCTTGAATGTCAACTCTTTGTCTTCTCTTGGCAGGACCTTTTGCTTTCACAACAGATGCTGTTATGTATCTCCTGTATTGGTAATTGCTCTGGCTGCTTTCCCACTGAGGGAAAACAATGTTTATTAATTAATTATGAAGTCGATAGAGTGCACCTGGTCTAGAGTAATCAATAAACATATCACATGTATTAGTAACTGCTCTGGCTGCATTCTCACACAATTACCAAAAAATTGACAGTCAAGTTTTGTTGAGTTGAGTCAAGAATTGACATTACAGCACTCGGGGCATTTCCATGCGTGCTCCGTCCTCATCTTCAGTAGACAGCGAAGAGTTCCAATACTGATGGTATTGGATGGTATTTGGTCACAATTTAGTTATATGTCAGTCTTCCCTTTCTTCTGAGGGTAGTGAGCCGGCCAGACCCTCTGGTTACACTCAGGTGCCTCATTCTCTACAGCCATAATAATTTTGTTTCTCTACTGATTTCATTGCTTGTTCCCGAAGGGCGACCACATGTGCCTTTTATGTATCAGTTCACGACCCAGTGGTGCAGATCCAGCCAGACAGTGTACCTAGTATAGGGTAAACAAAAAAACGTACAGTGAAGTGCTTGTTAAGCGGCATCCGTGGCAAGTCCAACTCGTAAACCAACGTACCGCGATCGAAACCCACTGCTGGATGCGTGGATTTTTATCATGGTATGGGGCGTCCCAGGTCGACCTAGCCTAAAATGGGTACAAGGATGGCTTTTCTGGGGAAGTAGAGACGGCCGGCGTAATGCTGACCACATTACCCACCCAGTGCCGATTGGTCTGTAAAAATATGGGACGCCCTTCCCATATACCCGATGTGCCCAAGGAGTGAAAAGGGATCTGTATCTGATTTGTGATCGGAAGTGCTCGATGTTGAAATAGTAGCTTAACATTTAATGAGGTGACCAGATCAGATGATCATATAGTTCTCGTTGTGTTTGGCACATGATGTTGTTATATTTTTCACAAAGTCTGTCTAGTAGTATCAGTTCACACTTCGAGATGGTTGAGTTTGCGACTTTCCGGAGGCATCTCATTTCACAGGTGCTTGTGAATCTCCTTCTCTTATCCTTTTCTCTACTCCTACTCCTGAAAGTCTAGCAGAGTCAGTTGTTGAAACGATTTCTGCAACGGGTCTTCTGGTTCGCTTCGCATATAATACTTTTCAGTGTCTGATGATATTTCTTCGATCCATCTCTCTGTGGTCCACCTCTGGGCCTGTTACCGATCTATCAGTGTAACGTTGCTCTTTGTGGTGCTCTGTCTGATGTCAATCTTGCAAGCGAATATGTGTGTAAAAAACAAAACCTCTATGTATTGTATCGACCGCATTACATTTTGCTCTGTATAACATGAAAGGCCCTGTATCTCATTGCCTTGTATGTTTTTATGCCAGACGCATGAACACAGCATTGTATCTCAATAGAAACGATTAGGGGATTCGCTAACTGGGTGGTTAGACGTTCGACTACACGTTGGTTAAGCCTTAGTCATATATGACTGATTACATAATAACTGTATTTGAGACTACCTACCAAACCATCTTATTCGTTGTTCTCTAATGAATTGAAATAAAAAAAGTAGGTGAAGTCGGAAGATGTTAACTAGCGTCATTGCACACGGGTATAAACCATAAGTGCTCTGCCACCAGTACGGAGAGCTAATAAGAAAATGCCCGCCTGGGTCGCTGTCCGCGCGCAACTCTGTAGCTACAGCGTCGTTCCTCCATTTACCCCAGAATGTCACTCAGGTGCCCATTTTCTAGAGGCTTGGTGAACCTCGGGAGCCGCCCAGTTTCGAACACCGACCGTGGCTGCAGCAAGCGCAGCTGGATTTGAAAGCGAGCCTAGTATCGACTGCGTTAACGCGGCTCCCTAATGAATTGTATGACTGGTTTCAGTCCAAATCCACTTATAATTTCCTAATTCATGAGTTTATCTGTTTACTGGCAGCTCTCTTAAGACATCTTATCTCTGTTGTTACGATCTTCCGCTCATTACTTGTAGTAATGGTCCATGTTTGGCACTGTTAATTACATTTCTCAAATCGTTTCGGTGATATACCTGGTAGAAGAGAAGATTCTGAAGAAGGTCATGGATGGGAAGAAGAAACAGATGAAGAAGAAGAAGAAGAAGAAGAAGAAGAAGAAGAAGAAGAAGAAGAAGAAGAAGAAGAAGAAGAAGAAGAAGAAGAAGAAGAAGAAGAAGAAGAAGAAGAAGAAGAAGAAGAAGAAGAAGAAGAAGAAGAAAAAGAAGAAGAAGTAGAAGAAGAAAAAGAAGAAGAAGAAGAAGAAGAAGAAGAAGAAGAAGAAGAAGAAGAAGAAGAAGAAGAAGAAGAAGAAGAAGAAGAAGAAGAAGAAGAAGAAGAAGAAGAAGAAAAAAGAAGAAGAAGAAGAAGAATAAAAAGAAGAAGAAGCAGAAGAAGAAAAAGAACAAGAAGAAGAAGGAAAAGAAGAAAAAAAAAAGAAGAAGAAGAAGAAGAAGAAGAAGAAGAAGAAGAAGAAGAAGAAGAAGAAGAAGAAGAAGAAGAAGAAGAAGAAGAAGAAGAAGAAGAAGAAGAAGAAGAAGGAGAAGAAGGAGAAGAAGAAGGAGGAGAAGAAGAAGAAGAAGAAGAAGGAGAAGAAGAAGAAGAAGAAAGAAGAAGAAGAAAGAAGCAGAAGAAGAAGAAGAAGAAGAAGAAGAAGAAGAAGAAGAAGAAGAAGAAGAAGAAGAAGAAGAAGAGAAGAAGAAGAAGAAGAAGAAGAAGAAGAAGAAGAAAAAGAAGAAGAAGAAGAAGAAGAAGAAGAAGAAGAAGAAGAAGAAGAAGAAGAAGAAGAAGAAGAAGAAGAAGAAGAAGAAGAAGAAGAAGAAGAAAACTAACAATAACATTTACATCAACATTAGTAACAACAGAAGCAGACTAACAAACAATGCCATCTTCCATTTGCCAACATGTGAAACAATCATCCTCATACCTAAGATATCTAACGGTAAAGATGCATAAAAAATGAAACGCTTGTTTGCAACACCGAATAAAATGTGTCTCTCATTTTCCTGTGCCATTTCCAACAGATCACCTTGGTCAGCCTCTAGATGACTACATCAGGATCTTTAATGGAAAAGTCAAAGTAGTTCGCCTACCAGAGAGGAAAGGTCTCATAGCGGCACGACTTGTAGGATATGAGAACGTGACAGGAGAAGTGATTATATACCTCGATGCCCATATGGAAGTTAACAAGGGTAACATTTGATTACTGGAATTTCTCATTTACATAATGCATTACTGTAAAGTACACGGATACAAAAATTAATAATGGTCACCAGTAGACTGTAGGTTACACTGCGCCGTTGAAAGTATCCCAGGTATAACTTCGTTGAAGGTTGAAAGGAGTGTTTGGGATTTGCCCTCATGAGACTGCGACTGTTTAATCTCAGGGTGGTCAAACTATTAGGGTAGCATAAAAGGATGCAAGAACAAACAAAAAGTATACCATTGAGCTTCACAGTTTGACAAAAACACAAACGGAAAGTGAACGTTGCGGTACGAATATACAAATGTACTTTACTTATGTATTTCTGATAGCAGCTAATGGGTTTGTACGCGTTCCAAATGAAAGATTTGTTCTGTTCTATTCTGAAAAAAAAAAAAAAAAAAAAAAAAAAAAAACAAACAACAACATCAGAACCACGTTCAACCTGCTGTTGGCAGCGAGTCGCCAACGGGCTCCGATTATTTTTGTGGTCTAGTTTATTTACGCCACTTTCGTGGTTTAGATTTTGGTATGTGAGCTAGCTCTCTAGCTTAATGTCTGTGTTATCAAAGGTAGACCACTCCTTTCTGTGTTTGTCCATGTTTTTATCGTCTTCCTTTTTTCTCCCTTCCTGAGTCATCCTCCGCCTAGTTCAGTTTCCTTATTATCTATTTATTGCATCCCCTATTGAGTATCCATTTCTGTTGCTCCCTATGTGGGCCAGGTGTATCTTGTAAGAGACCGAGCTCGTACCAAACGTCTTTTTGGAACACCATTTATAGTTTTTAAATTTTCATTTTTTGGGGGGAAAGAAGGGGAGAGGGGGTGGGGGGGGGGGGGGGGGGGGGGGGGGGGGGTGCCCAAACGTGTTGAAAAAAGTTGTGGGTTTGGACAGATTCGAAATTGTGAAAATGTTTCGCGTGTGACAATAGCGGTCCTATAAATGTCCTCCTGTGGTAAGAGCGGGTTAGACGTGTGATAGTGGTGTGTAGAATGTAGGCGCCAGCAATATACAGCATAAGACTGCCAGGGGCCGTGACTCGAGGATACGGTAGCAGCCCGGAGTGGAAAAACGAAAAACAATGGATGCATTTCTTTCACCAGTATGATCCTGAGGTCACCCTAGCCTTAAAAAGGCACCAGATGATCCACAATGTTCTTAGAATTTTCATACAACAAATTGCAACGACGAACAGAACGAGCCAACCCATCAATCACTTACGTTGGACGAAGGATGGGTAGTTCCTGTGTTAGTGGATACTTCTAGACCAGTGGTTCTTAACCATTCTAATGCCGCGACCCTTTAATACTGTTCCTCATGTTGTGGTAAACTGGTAATACAGTTCCCAATTTTGTGGCGAGCCACAGCCACACAATTATATTCTTTGCTAGTTCATAAATTCAATCAATATGTGTTTTCCCATTGTCTTAGGCAACCCTTGTACAACGGTCGTTTGACCCACACAAGGGTCTGGACCTAAAATTTGAGAATCGCTGATCTAGACGAAGTCACATTACTATACTTTTATAAGGAAACTGCGCTTTGATGTATCGATTAGTGTTGCCAAGTATGAACACTTTACAGGTAGCCGAACAAGAAAAGTAAACCAACACAGAACTCACAGAACATATTGAAAAAGGTGAAATCAGGAATGCTTCGTGCAGAGTAGCAAGCATCACTTCAGAGGTACCGGTTAGTTAGCATCCTTTGGATATTTTCTCCAGGGCATGTCGGTGTCTTGGGAAATAAGTAGGCAGATAGACTGGCTAGCTCTGCACCACTTGGTGGTAAATTTATGTATGACAAATTAGAAATTGTGAGAGCCCTTTGGGAGCGAGTGAACAGTGCGTAGGCTCGTAGATAGCATTACGGTCTAAAGAGAATGGCGCTGCGAGTATCTGCCGACCCTCAACACTCAGGGGAAGGATGAGACTGATATACAATCAGACGGTTGCTGGCATCAACGGAATAAAAACTCTTCGCTTGCTGCTGAAGATGGGCACTGAACACTTATGGGAATTTATCAAGTGCTGTGATGTAGATTCTTAATTCAACATTCAACAAAGAACTGGTGTTATCAGTCGTCATACGCTGAGAGAAATACTGAAGATGGGATTCGAGAGCGTATGGAATTGTCCGATGTGCAGTGACGATAATCTGTCAATACTGATATAATACCACACTGATTCCAGAAAGTATTGGTATAGAAAGAAACATAGACAGGCAGACACCTATCAATTGGAGGACAGAATGAATCACGGGTGGACGATATGTAAACCATACCCCAAAGAAATGATAGAGGTGAGCTGAAGACATCATAAAACCAAGAGGAACCTTTGAATCTCTCCAGGAAAGGGGAGATTGAAGTATTTTGAGAGGTTTTGCAAACGTTGGAGGAAACGGGCGGTGATGAACAGGACTGCGATCCATTCATCAATCCAAGCACTTCAGGCTCTCCCTCTGCTATTAGAGCGGGGCCGAATGGAAAGGACCAAGACGATTCATCAGCGGCGCAACAGAATCGAATTACTAAACAAAGAGTATATTGAAACACAAACATAGGACAATCTCCCGACGACAAGATATTATATAGCTGTTGCTGAAAATCCCAGCCTGGAAACATTAGCAGACATTTTGAAGAATTAGTCTGCAATGGACATGGGGTTTATGTGACCTGATGTCACAATGAAAACTAGAGACATCAAACCTTGTTGGCATTACGGATAAGATCGAAAATGATTGACATTAATAAACCGTCTGTCAGTTTCAGCAATCTCTTATTCAATATATGGTGAGAGACAAGAAATGCACAGTGCCAGTCGATCACGTGCTCGAACTGAGGCACATTAATTTGGAGTCGCTTAGGAAATCTCGTCTGACAGGAATTATTTTTTTTTTTGGGTGCCAGGACACTCTAGGGTATTAGGGAATCAGAAAGGGAATTGACTTGCAGGCAGGGCCACGGTAGGTACAGGAAAAGCAAAGGACCGCACCGAAATTACCAAGGTTTTCAAAGAGGCAGGACGAAAAGAGGATTCAGAAGAGGACGTTGAATCGGCAACAACAGACTACAAGAACTTCAGGTCAAAGGAGATGTCGCCAAATATGAACACTATGCAGGTAGCCAAAGAAGAATAGCAACCCAACACAAAACTGGCGGTATCAGTCGCCACACGATGATGGATATGCTGGAGGTGGGCTCTAATCGCTTATAGACTTGTTAGCTGTGCAATGAGGATAATCTGTCGATTAACTAAGTAACGAACTCAAGGAAATGATGTATGACTAAAAAGTTGGGTTTTCCGTCTATGTTGGTCCTGACACAATTATATGATCTCCAATTATTTGGGTATTTAGTAAATGAGTGGATATACAGATACCAGAAGATTGTTCAAGCTTTGTTAATTACATCGAAAGAAGACAACAGCCATTTTGTGTATTTTGTTGGAAACAAATCAGGTGTTTGCGTTTTATTATGTACTGACGTTCTTCCTGTTGGTTCCTGGCTCCATTTTAGAAAGCAAAGAATATACCCTTCTGTTTACCAAAGGAGGAGTTGTTAATGTCTATTGTTAAAGCTTCGGCCAGCCTCAGCATTCGCCTGTTCGGTGTGTGTAAATCACACAGAAAGCACAGACCTTATCAATTAATGTCCGGAATGAAGCAAATGACATCCAATGGACGAGAAGGTTTATTTCCTGTTGATTGGTCTCATCTCTCTTGTAAGCAACAACAACAACAACAACAACAACAAAAAAAAAACAAAAAAAAAAAAAGTTAAAGACCCTTTCGCACGCCTTTAGGCGTATAGTGCATATAAGGCTAGACCTATTTTTCTAAAGACCAATCGGCACAAGATGGGTGGTTTGATCAGCATCACGCCGGTCGCCTTTACTTCCCGGAACTGCACCCGGTACCCACTCAAGGCTGGGTCGACCTAGGAATCAAAGTAATGTTTTAAAAAAGCGACTCCCAAACAATCTTTTGGGGCAAACATTATTTTCGAGAAAACATTATTCTGAATTAATTATTTCATTCATTCATTTCCTTGATCAGTCCACTCATATTCAGCAATTATGATTTTGTTAAAACAAAGAGATTATATTAACTACGTGCGGCAAGTTTCAATTGTAGTTTATTTACACATTACCCTCACTGCTAGTCTGTTGATTTTAGGAAATAAATATCCACAGCACAAGAACTCCATTCTCTCTTCTTTTTAGGTTGGCTGGAGCCTTTGTTACACAGAATAAAACAAGATGATACCGTCATAGCCATCCCACATATTGACTCAATTAAACACGAAACATTTGAGGTATTTCATAATGCATTCGGTAATCGTCATCATCATCATCGTCGTGGTTAACATCATCGCCATTATTATCATCAACTTCCTCTTTTGCCGGTAAGTGTCACGCGGAGAAACGGTTTGCGGTCTATTCCTCGATTTGTGGCACTGACTATAGTCATTGTGTGAATGTCTCTGAAGTCGTCAATTCATCTTTTCTTTAGGTGTCATACGTCTTCTTCTTTTTTTTTTCTCTTCCACCTTGTACCTCATTGAAGTGTCAGGGGGAGATGTAATGTACGTTGAAAAGCTCTGTCAAGAGCACTATTAAGACTGATATTCATTTCTGTAAGGCTGTTCTTAATGCCATCACTCCATATTTTCCGAGGTCTTCCACTCGCTCTATACCCGTTGTAACGTTTTAGTGTGGCTCGCTGTGGCAGATAGTACCAGGGTATTCTTGTTAGATTTCTGTAAGGCTGTTCCTAATGCCAACACTCCATATTTTCCGAGGTCTTCCACACGCTCTAAACCCGTTGTAACGTTTTAGTGTGGGTCGCTGTGGCAGATAGTACCAGGGTATTCTTGTAAGGTGTCCAAACCACTTCATTTGTTGTTCTTTGATGACTTGTGAAATCGAAAAGAGTAGCCTAACGGCGCTACCCGGGCAAAATTTGGAGTTAAAAATCTGCCTAAAGTATTTCAGGATCCTCGCCGGTGCTACAAAGCCTGTGCACTGTGCTGACCTTCATCTGACTCAGACTTGAGTTAGAAGAAGAACGTTACGTTACTACCCGTGTGCCATGATATTGGTCAGTTCTTCAAACTTCAAACTTTATGACCTGTACGACTGGCTTTATTCCTAGCATTCGTTTGATTTCATGATTTCTTTTTCTGTCTTTTCTTGAAACTCCTGCAGCTCTTCTAAGGCATTTTATCTCTCTTGTCACAATTTTACGTTCATTGGAGGATATAAGTGTCCACGTTTGGCATAGATAGAATAGTGTTGGCCAAAAAAATAGTTCTGATAAGATTCACTTTAGTACTCCGAGATTCCTGCTTGTGTGTCAACAGGGGAGATAGTTTCCCCATTTCTTGATTAGCTTTGTCACATCTGGAGCTAATTTCTCTGTCCAGTTTTCCGTCTGATGTAAAAATTGCCACCAAATACTTAAATTCCTCTGTTTGTCTCTGTGTGTTGTTTTTTAATTGTATTCCTAAATTGTCTTTATGGCTTCCTATCATCATTGTCTCTGTCTTCTTAGTGTTTATTTTCATATTATATTCCTCCCCTTTGTTACTAATTTGATTTAGGTGGTTATGTAGGCATTCCGTATTTTCTGCAATGAGTACTTGGTATATCTGGCGAATAGTAATTCTGTAATTTTTTCTTCATGAATAAAGTTCGTTTCGCTACATATGGTATCCATGTATGTTATAAAAAGAAGCAGCTATAGTACACAGCCCCGACGCACACCAGAGTTCACTATAAAAGTTCTTGACAACCCTGCCTTCGATCTTATGCAGCATTCACTACGTGTGTACAGGCTTTTGCAAATATTATTGAGATGATTGCTGATTCCCTTTTTCCCCACACATTCCCACAACATATTCCTGTCGACTCTATCAAAGGGTTTTTCTTAGTCTATGAATGTCAACAAACATGTATTATCATGTTCTATTGCCCTCTCTGATAGCTGTCTCAATGTATAAATGGCATCTTTTTCGTCGAAAGCCCATCTGTGCTTATGAAAGTTGATACTCTATCAATGGTCTCAGCCTTTTTTCGATGATCTCAGCATACATTGTCCCAGTGTGACTGAGAATTGATATTCCTCTGTAATTAGTACATTCCCTCCTCTTTTATTTTTCCACAACGGGACGATGGCAGCAGTCTGCCAATCTGAAGGTGTTTCTTGATTTTCCCATGCCACCTGAAATATTCTTTTTAAGCATATTGCTCCCGCTTCTCCTCCTGCCTTGATGGCCTCAACTGGTAGATCATCAATCAATACCTGTTGCCTTTAGTCTAGGGGCGGTTCGAATGACATATTTTACTTCATCCAATAATTTACCTGGTTCTGGTTCCTCTGCCATTAGTTCCAAGTTGTTTTTATATTCTTCCCTGCTGTTATCTGTTTTAATGCAGCTAAGTAATGATTCAAAGTAATTACTCCACCTTTCTAAAATTTTGGTAGGTTCTATTAAAGGTTGGCCAACTTCATCATTTATAATTTCTGTTCGGTTGTATTCTTCATTCCTGTTTCTCATGCCTTTGATTTTTTTTTTTTGTAGTAGTTTTTCACTGCTGTTCTTTCTTCTTCAGCCAGCTTGCTTCCAAACGTTTCCCATGAATCTCTTTTTTCTTGTCTGATAGTTCTTTTTACTTCTCTTTTAATTATCCTGTATGTTATGTCATGGCCAAACTTTAGTACAGGCCTAGCTACTGACGTCATCAGCGGGACGTGACGTCACCGCCGCTGGCTAACGTTGTTACTTTTTCACTCAGACAGTACCTGTTTTTTTTTTTTCCCGGCCGTCCCCTGAGTACTAGCCCACAAAAAGTATAGCAATAAGCTCATGGCTATTCAACAGTCAGCCCGCGGACCAAATTTGGCCCGCTGAGGCCTAGCGAGTGGCCCGCGGATCACTGCTGGTTGCAATGAAATAATGGTTTTTCTAAGCTGGGACTTGGACTGCTGGTCCATAACGATCCCTAATTTTACAATGTTGGCTTCTGAGTTAACCTAAATTGACTTAGTTGAACAGTTCTTGATTTAGGTATTGACAATAAGACATAGAAACAAAGCACAACAGAAACTAATCACATATTCAAAATATGACATAGAAACAGAAAGCGCATAAGAAACTACTGACATATTCACAGTATGAAATAGAAACAGAAAGCACGACAGAAACTACTCACATTTCACAATATGACATAGAAACTAAAAGCACAACAGAAACTACTTACCATGTAGCTGTCCAAATTGAAGTTACATAATCCATGAAATCCATTACTGGGTGAATTTTGTCAGTCTGTAACTTTCCAAGAAGTATAAAACTGGCTTCTGTGGTTGCAAATAGATATTTGATTAGAGAAAGCACTGCGGTCATTGTATGCAGCAGTGCACTGTGTGTTTCCTTGGTCAGTTTTCCTTGACAGCCAGGCAGCTTGTCCCACTTTCTTAGCCATTCAGCAAACTGTTCAAGATAATGCACTTGTTCATCATCATTTGACAATACAGGATTTGAGAATGAGTTCAGTGTCTTTTTACCTACAAATTTACTTTTCACATTAACAATATGCCACCATCTAAGGATGGCTTCAATAAAATCTGCTGTTTCATTACTGCCTACTAGACGCAGAGCAGCAACATTGTATTCATTAAAAATTGCCAAAGCAAGAGGAACATTCTGTCTGTCCATGCTGGAGGGATAGATGGCTTTGTGGGAAAGTTTAGGTGCCAATTTTGCAATATTCTTTTGCTCACTATAATACAGTTTCTTTAAATGAGAAAAGTTAGCTTCTGCAGCTCTATCAGTATCACAGGCGTTTAGCATTTGTCCAGTTATTAAAGGATAAATAAATGTCTGGTTTGTGTCCTTCTGGTTGATCCAGTTCTTCCACATGCATTTTAGCAAGTGCACAGAATCATGCAGTAAAAATATTTTTTTATTAGCAAAATCTGGGTTCTCAATAAAAGTTTGGCTTGGTTTCAGGAGATCACTGTAAACTCTGCGATTGACAGCATTATTATCTGCAATTACAGCAACCATTGTGAAACCACACTCCTGTACAAAGTGGATACAGTGGAGTAATTTCAAACGTAGATCCTGAGATGTCATTCTGTTCACAGGTGAAAGTTCTATAATTTCCTGGTAGCTTCCAAAAACTGAAGATATGAGGAAAGCCTGCACTGTTGTTGCTGCTTCTTTTGCATTGTCTGCATTGCCAAATATTTTGCCCCCAGAGTGAGTAATTGCAGATTTAACATATATTTCATCCATCTGAACTACTACAATCTTTTCTAGCTCTGTTAGTTTGTCTTGTTTCAATTTCAAGTACTGTGAAATGCTGCCAGTATGAGTAGATAATGACAACTGTGAAGTTGAATTGTGCAGTGTTCTTTGATGAGGCAGGCACAACATACGAGATTTTCCTATAAACCGGTAGCATGCTGGAGATTTAATGAACAGCATGAAAGCGAAACATAATGTGCTACAACTGTAACGCCTTCTGTTTTTTAACACGGTTAAAAGTTGCAGCTGCTCTGCAAGAAAGTTTACTTGTGTGTCAGTTACTTCATCAGCTGTCCCATTAGGAGTCCACTGTTGCTCTGCAGCACTCTTCAAAATACTTCCTGCTTCTTCCACTAAATCTGTGAAGCTATTTTGGCTTTGAATTTTACTATAATCCCAGGCATTGTAATGAATTACAAGATTTTCAAGCTGTGACCATCTCACAAGTTTATTGTTGTCTACAATCCATTTAAGGTCTTTGTCTTTAACTTTTTTATTTTGAACAAAGACTTGTATAGTCATATCAAGTAACACCTTTATGCTGACACCTATGGATGGTGCAGAGTCTGACTGTATGATAATGACATACAAAACAATACATGCTAAAGCTCCATCTACAGAAGTGTGTTTCCAATTTTTGTTCAAAGTGTCCTTTCAGTTTGTTTCCTATCTGTGACTCCAGATCTTGGAAATCTGTAATGATATCTGAGGACAGCCAATCATTTACTTTTTGATCATAATTACGATTAATATGTGATACACGTTCCTCTGGAGTTTTGCGAGAGGCTGGTACTTTCACCGATAAATAGGATGGAAGATCTGGAAAGATAGTTGGATAAGCATCTTTTTTTAAAGCGGGATTCTTTCTTGGGAGTATATGCTCGATTCCAGATTTGTCTGTATATTTATCAGACACAATAATATCTGACGTACGAAAATGTTTTATACATACTACACTGGTTTTCCCAGGAGTCCAATTTTTCCGTGGAATATGTTTCAGCCATTTGTCTCTTAAAAGAGAATTCGAAGGGAATCTGAAGCAACTTACAT